GTGTTCTAATAAATTGGAACGATTATGAGGAACATAATCGATGATAAACACTCCTTTATTAAGTACAATATGTAATTATTTAACAGGGCTATCATGGTGTTATAAAGCAAATGCGTTTCATCAAACCGAATTAGCGATACTCAAACGTGGTTAGCGTGTAGTAGATGAAATTTCATAGTGGTCAGCTTAGGTTTCTCGACACCGAATAGTATATCGAATATCCTCTAATTTTTTTTAGAAATTTTAATTACATTTCTGCTTTTCATTTTCTTATTATATTAATATTAATCAATATTAATTACCTCTTTGAGATTTTACATTTTTTGACATCAAGATTTATGATATTTGAGGGCAGAAGAATATCATAGTGATTCGTGTAAAGTGTTTATAAGATCAAAAATTCAGGAATATTCTTCAATTTTGTTTAGAAATTTTTATTTTAATTATCTTGGGTAATTATTCTAGCTAATTAATTACATTTTCGATTTTTGTCGTTGTAAAAGAATTTGATTTAATTTTTCTCATAGTGCTTTTTATTCATCATGGCGGAATTTATCAATGGAGTAAAAATATATTTCACGATTTGGTCTATCGATACCTACGTCACTGGTTTCGTTGTATCGACTCTTATCGTTGTGTCGAATGCACGTATGCATACGTGCAAGCTTGATGCACATTTATCAACACGTGATAAGCCGTGCAAATTGTTTAACACTCCGTGTACGCCATTTTACTGTATAATTGCAGTCGTTTCTTCTTTGCTTCCTGCATTGCTCCATTCTTCCATTTTGATGACGCTTTCTTGAACGAATTCAATGCAAATGCTATAAATAACTATAAATAACTACGACAAACAGAGAAACAAATATCAGAATAATATTTCAACATTGGAATAATAAATGATTTCACGTGAATTTCGCATAAATGTTTTTCAAAGAATTCTTTGGGATATTAACACTAGAATTACTGATCTTTAATGGGTACCTAACTATAACGTGCATAAATTATAGTAATTTCAGCGATACGATGAATATGAGTAAATATATTGATTACAGTTCTTTCTTAACCTTTTGCACTCGATGACTTTTTGGCTAGAGAAGAGTAGACAATCAAAGATTCTCTACTAAAAAACTGACGATACTTTTTTGAGCAGTAAATAAAGAATTGTATAATAATAGAGTTGTAGAATTATTTGACTTCGATACTTCGCACACTGTTACATTACGTTAAATTTGATATATTAATTAATATCGATTTTCCAAATTTTATAAAATGGTGACTGAAGCTCACCTCTCGAGTGCAAAGGGTTAATACGAGTTGATACCAATTTTATTCTTAAAGTAGGTGTATGTGTTCGGTGATTGCAAGAAGGAAAATTCTGGGACCAGTTATTTTTATTGGGTTGGTAGTTCCAGTCTTAAATAAAAATTTCATACAATTTCTTCCAAATTTTTCGTTTAATATATGATATGAATTTTTATAATGAATTTTCCCATATTTTCTTTTATTTAATTTTTTAAAAATGTTCTCTCATTGTTTCATTTCTTGGTCTCTTTTTCTTGTTTTTATTTTTATATTTAACCCATTGAGGTAGATTTAGTATTAAAATCAATAGCTAACAAAAATTCAGTCGTATTGATATTCTTTCAGCGTTATTGAAGTTGAATGCGATTGTGGACTTGAATATAAATCAAGCTTATCTGTCTCGCTTTGCATAAGTTAGATTCACTTATTCATTACTGGGGTGTCCGCGTCACGTATTTTTATCAAATAAACAGCGTGTTGCATGTAATACTTCAACAACGGATGTCGAAGTCACTCCTCGATCATCCTGCATTCGATCTTGCATTAAAATCATTTTCTTATTGAGCGGATCAACGTTTTAATTTTATTTTATATTTTAATCGTTTTCAGTTCGAGAATTCTTTTATTTTTTATCCTTTCTATCCATGAGTAACTCTAACACGCACTTTAGCGATGAGATATTTTTGAAAAATAAAATTTTGAATTCAAGAAAGACGAAATTAGAGATATTTACTCGCATTTTTGCTTCGTCGATGAGAATGAAATTAAATAATAAATTGCAGATTATCAATGCTTTCGCAATGGCGCCAGTAGAGTGTAAAAGGTTAACCTTCGCTGTTAAATCGATTAGATTCTTTTTAATTAAAATATTCCCAGTCGCTTTATGATTCTTGAAATTATTTACGTGCTTGATATTTTAAAACAGATTTTACGACTCTTTATTTTTTCCGATTTGATATTGTATCGATTAGAAAGTAATCAGTAACGGATATGGCTCGTTTGTTTTTCAATTTTTATCGTCAGATTTTATAAATTTGATAAATTTTTAATAATTCTCTATATATGGATTATTATCGATCAAGAAAACGCAGATCAAATATTTTTTCGAAAACTGTATTCTCTCTAATATTTATAAAAATTTGTTATCAACACGCGATAACAACTCTCGTCGGAGTTATCCATTTACAATTCTTCTTCTTGTTTTAACGAATTTTTACCTTATTTTAAATTATTTACTTTTACGAAAAATTTAGCTTAATCGATTTTTAAAATTAGATAAATCAAAGAATTATCAGCTGTACACGAGTTAAGATCTTCCTGACAAACGAAAAAATTAAATTTATTTCGGAACTGAGGAGATATTCGCGCCTGATTACGAGTTTGTATACTTTAAATTAAAAGTCACTCTAGTTACCTAAGTAATTTCATTTTGCAGTTATGCGAGAGCCGAATAGTTGCGGGAAGATTTAAGATTAAATATCTCGTTTTGCATGTGCCAACACGTGCTTTTGACGTGACTCCTCGTAGCGAGACGATAATTCAGGGCAACAAGAGTACTTTTGTAATGAATTACAGTATTGTCAAGATATACAGGAATTTCCGCAGAAAGTAATATTTCATAGTCACTCCTTTCGTACGTAAATTGATTTATCACTGCATAAAATAAGAAAGTACTTTTTATCTACCTTACATGTTAAACGTGTTATACTATTATATTACGAACGAGACATCCTAATTCCTTCGTCAGCGCATTGTCTGATATCATTTACAAGAATTTATCATACACGACGTCTCGTACACGTCTCGTGGTTTAAAAATATTTTATAACAAAATTGTCTACTGGGATTTAAAAATAAATTTGTATAATAATTAACGAAAATTATAAGCGAAGTTTAAAAGAAGTTGAAAATATACACATTGTTTGTAATATAATCAATTTGTCAGTATATATTTCTTTTTTCTTCTTTTCTGTTTTTCTTCATCAGGAAAAGATCATGAAATCAGAAATCAGTATGTTCAATCCAAAAAGAAGAACTTACACTCGTCACTTCCATACTGAAAAATAGTTTCCACGTATTATCAAATTAACCTTTCGATTATTATAGAATACTTAACTATATACTATGGAAAACTTAAAAAGCAGAACAATGTTTTGCAAATTTTTCTGAAACCTTTATTCCTTGAGATACATAAATTAATATTAAAAAAAGAATTTATACAAGGCAAACTTATCTATCGTTACACGAATTCTCATTCGATGAATGATGCACAAAAATCTACAAATCATTACACTCTGTTCCTTAACTTCTGTGAATAATATTAATAAATCACATAGACCTCTACAGACCACGTTGTAAACTGCATAGCGTGGATAGAAATGGAGATCTTGTAGATCATTCGATACAGGAAAAATATGTCGTACATAGAAATTAGACAGAAATTTATTTCTTTATAACAAATTTAATTCATCAAACAATTTTCCACGATATTAATTTGTTTAAGAGATAGAAAATTAATATCAGAATTAATTAATATTTCTTTTTATCTGACATTCGAGTAAATAAAAATTTTGTTCTAACAATTATAGTGAGTCACAAAGAATTAATTAATTTTGAAGTGTTCGTTACTCTAATGTGGTTGTGAAACACTGATTTCAGGGATGGAAATATAGTTCTTACAATTGGGGCTGATAAACCTACTTTTTTTACATCTTGCAGATCATTCTATACAGGAAAAATATATTGTACATAGAAATTATACAGAAATTTATATCTTTATGACAAATTTAATTAATCAAACAATTTTTCACGATATTAATAGTTTGCACTCGGCGGTTTCTTCGTTGACGAAAATTAGTAATTCGAAGACTTTCTGCCATAAAGTCTAGGATATTTTTAAAACGGTAAATAAGAAATGGAATTATTTTACCTCGACATTCCATGCATCGTTGAGTAATTTGAGATTTGATATATTAATTAACATCAATCATTAGAATGTGATTAAATGGCGACTGAGAGGCGCCTCTCGAGTGCAAAGGGTTAATTTATTTAAGAAATAGAAAATTATGGATAGAAATGGACACCAATATCTTCTACATTTTTTAACACTTAACGCATTAGTATATTTAGTTAAAAATATTTAAATAATGAAAACAACTCGTAATAAACTATTTTAAATAAAAAATTCATTGACACTTTCTACAAAATTCTTCTCTCTCTTTCTCTCTCTCTCTCTCTCTCTTATTAACCGTTACATACCCATGTTTCCTCTTCGACGATTCTCACATAACTGTTTTATTGTAGCAAATTCTTCTAAACATTTTTCAAACATCATTCATACCAGACTGCACTCGCACATACTATATTTATATCATTCCAAATGAGTTTCGCTTATTCTACCTCATTCGCACATATAAAACCAACACTCACACACACAGTAGCTAAATCTTAGCTAAAATTCGTTCTCCACCCTTTCACGCGAGGCAATCCCAAGAATCCCATCGATGTGCCATCACGTCGTTTCCCTCTCTTTTCTAATCCATTATCGAACCATTTCTTAATAATCTCACCTTCGTTCCATCCATCTCTAAGAGGACCGAGGACGTCGTGGATTAACGTGGATCTCTTCAGAGATATAGAGAATCCGTCCACGTTGAGAGCCTCTGACCTTTTTCGTTCCTTTGATTTTTTCCACAGATCAGGACGTTCAGCGGTGGAACCACTCGAGAAGCTGAACAATGACGATCACGGAGAACACGGAGTCGAAGAGGAATTCCGCGGACGTTCGCAACGTGGTCGACGAGGCTGTCGATCGACGTCCTCTGAACGGGGACACTCAGGAGTCCCAACGACCGGAGGAGACGTCGAATTCGAGTACCGAGGGTAACCCGAGGAAGAACTCGTCGGTGAAGATCGACGTGTCGATCGTGAAATCGAAGAGGACCGATAAGGACGAGGAAGACGTCACGAGGAAGGACCCGGATGCTGATCGTAACGTGGTTGTTCCGCCGGATGGGGGACTGCGGGCGTGGATGATCCTGATAGGCAGTTTCGTCATCAATGGTATACTCTTCAGCGTCATAAACACGTACTCGTTGATCTACCTGGAGTTGCAGAAGAGGCTCTTGGAGTCTGGAGAAACGGCCGCGTCTTCGAAAGCTGGTGAGTTTCTATGTTCGATTGCTATGTGATAGAGTGGCGGGTATAAGATAGTTTAGTTGTATTATAGTTGCTGGATTGCGTGTAAGATGACGTTGTAATTTTCTCCCGGGATTCGAAGTATAGTAGCTCACGAAAGTATTCGAAAGTATCTCTATATTTCAACAGAATTTTCTAATACAAAAATTCTGATTTTAATAAATTACAAGTTCGCGTGCACGTGAAGTGTAACTAGTTATGCACGCAGTAATTATTTTCTTGGCGGAAAATGAGTTTCAGGGGGTAAAATCAAGATTTGAGAATATTTTTGATTTTTAAACGGGATCTTGCGCGGAGAAATTTTTATTATGGAGTGACAGGGTAGCAAAAGTTAAAGATTTTTTATACGGAAAGTTGTTTTTCATCTCGTATAGTTATATTTTAAAAAACAGAGATCGGCTTGTAAGTTTGAGTAACGATTTCACGAATGTGAAGTAATATATGCGAATAAAAGAAATTGCACTATGAGTAACTCATTATGCTATACGTACACTAGTTATTAAAATTGGAATTTTTGAGTTAGAGTGTTCTCTTAAAATTTGTATAGCATTCGAATACTTTTGTGAATCACTGTAGGTAGAATGATCAAATATTTGTGTTTTTGAGAGGAGTGTGAGTAGCGAGCAGAGTGCTGTGATAATTTTAATTAGGAGAGTTGTAATATGTTCGAATATTTATGTTTGTAGGGGAATACGTGGAGTGAAACGAGTGATATGAGAATTTTGGAGTGCAATTGTTACACTATACCTAACTTAGGATTGCAATTGCTAGAGTATACCTAACTTAAGATTGCAATTATTAGAATATACTTAACTTAGGATTGCTATTGTTAGACTATACTTAACTTAGGATTGCAATTGCTAGACTATATCTAACTTAGGATTGCAATTCTTAGACTATAGGTAACTTAGGATTGCAATTGTTAGACTATACTTAATTTAGGATTGCAGTTGCTAGACTATACCTAACTTAGAATTGCAATTGTTAGAGTATATCTAACCTAGAATTACAATTATTAGACTATATCTAACTTAGGATTACAATTGCTAGAGTATACTTAATTTAGGATTGCAATTATTAGACTATACTTAACTTAGGATTGCTATTGTTAGACTATACTTAACTTAGGATTGCAATTGCTACACTATATCTAACTTAGGATTGCAATTATTAGACTATATCTAACTTAGGATTACAATTTGCTAGAGTATACCTAATTTAGGATTGCAATTCTTAGACTATACTTAACTTAGGATTGCTATTGTTAGACTATACTTAACTTAGGATTGCAATTGCTAGACTATATCTAACTTAGGATTGCAATTCTTAGACTATATGTAACTTAGGATTGCAATTGTTGGACTATACTTAATTTAGGATTGCAATTGCTGGACTATACCTAACTTAGGATTGCAATTGCTAGAGTATATATAACTTAGGATTGCAATTCTTAAACTATAGGTAACTTAGGATTGCAATTGTTAGACTATACTTAATTTAGGATTGCAATTGCTAGGCTATACCTAACTTAGAATTGCAATTGATAGAGTATATCTGACTTAGAATTGCAATTATTAGACTATAGGTAACTTAGGATTGCAATTGTTAGACTATACTTAATTTAGGATTGCAATTGCTAGGCTATACCTAACTTAGAATTGCAATTGATAGAGTATATCTGACTTAGAATTGCAATTATTAGACTATAGGTAACTTAGGATTGCAATTGTTAGACTATACTTAATTTAGGATTGCAATTGCTAGGCTATACCTAACTTAGAATTGCAATTGATAGAGTATATCTGACTTAGAATTGCAATTATTAGACTATACCTAACTTAGAATTGCAATTGATAGAGTATATCTGACTTAGAATTGCAATTATTAGACTATACCTAACTTAAGATTGCAATTGTTAGGCCATATCTAATTTAGAATTGCAATTGCTAGACTACACCTAACTTAGGATTACAATTACTAGACTATACCTAACTTAGAATTGCAATTGTTAGACTATACTTAAATTAGGATTGCAATTGATTATTCTAACATATCATTTCTCAGCAAAGATTCGAATTAAGTATAGAATGTTATATACCATGTTCGAATACTCATATTTATTGGAAGACTATTTTGAGTGATATATAAATTTTGTTCAGTCGTACCCTCTTTTGACTACAACTAAATTATTACGTTATAAGCGACTTATTCTGCTAATATATAATTTCTAATTAAACATTCCGGTTATTAAAGGTGGTATATAGACTGGAACAAGTGATATGAGACTCTGTTAAATAGTATAATTTATTGTTCTATTATGTCACATTTCGTTAAAGATTCGAACCTGATAAAATGTTCGAATATTTATGTTAGTGGGAGGAATATGTGTACTGTAGACGAGGAAGAGATAAAGCTATGCGCAGCTGCTACTTACTATTTGTTTGAACATCGATATATGTTGAAAAAAGAATAAATACCAGTTGCGTAACTAAGGACATTCACTCGACGAATGTTCCCTGACTCAGCCTTTGCCTTACTGATAAGACATTCGATAAAAGACGTACATTGTCGTTCGTAAGTTCGGGCAAGAGTTTAGTTGGCACTGATAGTGCGTTTGCTTGACCGTTTCTATTAAAGTTATGAGTAGAATGAGGTTTAAGACCCGTTTAACTGCTTGTGTTTTAAATCTAGAGCGAAAGTTGAGACATTTAAAGTAAAAGATTCATATTTTGAATAATAAAATAAAAAAGGAAACCTGATTTCAGTTTTACTTGTATCGTAATTATTAATTATATAGAATCATTAGAATTATTAATTATATGAAATTCTAATTTTTCTTCATTTCTTATAGAATAAAATATCTTTTAAGTATCTTGCAAAAATTGATAGTTGTATTTATATCAAAATTATAATTAAAATATAATACAATCTTTTTTATTTATAATTACTGATTGTGTACCTAATATAGGATTTCGAGTATTCTTACGTCTTTCATAAAATGAGTTTCTTGAAATGTATTTTATAAAACATTGATAATTATATCAATTGCTGGAGAGCTACATTAAATTATACTTATATTAAAATTCTAATTAAAATGCAGGAAAATTGAATTGCGTTGTAGCTTATGATATAGCTTTTGATATTCCTCAATGTATGTCTTTATCTTCGAATGTCTGGAGGATTTCTGTGCAATTATACGCGAATTGTACCCAGTAAGAATACTATAGAAATATTCTACTCGCTACGTTAAGTAATTCACGAACGAGACGAAATTCTACCTAATAGGCTCATTGTCGGACTTACAAAGGATTATGCTATCACATCGAAAGTTTCTCGCATTAATTGGACGAAAATACACGATGCTACGTTAACGTTATTTTAATTCCAATCCTAATTATTATATTATCGATTTATAACTGATAATCGCATCGCGATTAAAATTACAAAGAAATTGGTATTTTTTAAAATTCCATTATACATGGCTCTACATAAATTCGTAAAGGCATTAATAAATTAGAAAATACTAAATAGAAAACAATACTATTTCCAATTGACAATTAAACATATGTTTATATTATTGTTATTAATTAATTAAACATATGTTTATATGTTTATGTCTTCAATATGTTCGTAAAGTGATTTGTTGCCCCGTTTGAATTTCATACCAAACGATAAACGTAAACAGAGCTAAGATGATAATTTATTGGAGAATACGGAAAATCGTGGTTTTCTTTTTATCGCAGACAATCATTATCCCAAGCACTCGCGGTGCAGTCAATGAACCGTGTTATCTCACCATTTTTAATATTTACCCATTTTTCTGCCGATAGCGCGGTATCTTTGTAATAGTTTTATTGATGGATCTTTGAACTGTCTGGGTTTCATTCAGACAATCTCTTTTTTACTTTTCTTAAATATCTCTCTCTCTTATTGAATAAAAATATCGGAATTATGATAAATAAAAGCTTCTCGGCTCTACGTTTATGTACAATGATTTATCGATTTATTACCAAACGATTTATTGTCTTATTGCTTATTGTTATAAATTACACGATTATTTAGCAATTTTCTCACCGAATGCTTAATATCTCCTAACTTTTAATTAGCAATCCGCGTGCAAATGCGTATTACCTCAAGATGAAAGACGCATGCTAAACTCATTGCTTATCTCGACGACTATTTATGGAGCTAATAAATTTACGATTTCGCTCGTTGACTTTAAAAGTAAAAGGCACGCGAACTTAATCAATCGTTCTTTCCATTCTTTATTCCGTATACATAAACTGATTCATTACGGACACAATGACAAATACCAGGATATTTATAATTCCTCAGCCGTTCACAAGTCGAAGCTATTTAATTCCACTCGAATCTTTTCTTTTTATTAAAAAAATATATGTTGAGATCGAAAAATGATTTCTCAGAGAAAATTCGTTTGTTTGTTTATTTATTTCAATTATCAATTTGCATGAAAATGTACGATATATCGCGAAACGAAAAATTAATAGAATTATAAATTATACATAAAATTGACGGTTTATGTGAATACGTAATGGACACCCGATGATATGTGAGAACTGGATACAATTTATGAATCATGTTATATCGAAACCGCATGTTATAAATACCGCGTTGTACGAAGGTTATCTATAGATATTTATATAATAATAATATCCTTTATATCACGCATTGTTTACACTTTCTACAAGTGTTTACGTGTTCATCGTATATCGATTTTTTAGATTTTAACACGTATGATTCATTATAGGATATACTGTTATTTCATACACAGAACAGAGCAGGGAATTTTAATTATTCGACATAAGGATGAACTATCATAGTTTGCCAAATTTTCAAAATGCATTTAGAATCATTCGGTATGAATATAAAATTTTATTTTACATGTTATTCTCTTTTCACGTGAAAAATATTTAACCCCTTGCGTCCAAAAAATGAATATCTTC